ACCGCATTGAACAAAGGTTAGGTTGGAAAGGAAAATACCTCTCCTTTGGGGGGAAAATCACTTTAATAAAGAGTGTTCTTTCAAATTTACCTATTTACTACTTGTCTTTGTTGAAGGCTCCAGATTTGATACAAGAAGAAATTGAAAAGTTACAAAGAGATTTTCTTTGGAATCTAAAGGTGGAGAAAAAGAAATATCACTTGGTGAGTTGGACTTGCTTTGTAGGGCCAAGAGAGAAGGGGGTTTAGGAGTGAAAAGGGTGGGTATCTTTTATAAGGCCTTGTTGGGGAAATGGGTTTAGAGGTTTGGTAGAGAGAGGGAAGCTCTATAGAGAAGGGTGGTGGCCTACAAATATGGAGTGGTGAATTTTGGATGGGATGTGAGGAAATCCAATTTCCCTATGGGGTGAGTGTTTAGAAAGGGATTATGAATTTTAACTCTTTGGTTCAACCTTTCTTTAATTGAAAGGTAGGGGATGGTTCAAGTGTGATATTTTAGAGGATGATTGGATTGGGGTGGGAAAGTTGTCTGAGTTATGTCCTAAGCTTTATAGTCTAAGCAAGAAGGGTGTACCTATCTCTTAATGCTTTGAATTTTGCAATGGGGTAGTGATGTGGTGTCCTAAATTTAGAAGACCTTTATTTGATTGGGAATAGAGGAATGCATAGGGCTATTGGCGAAGCTTCAAGAGGTGGAAGTATGCCCTTCACTTCCAGATGATAGGCGGTGGAAAGAAAATAGCAATGGAAGATTATTAAATCTCTGTACAATGCTTTGTCTAGAAATTAGGTAGAGTCTGACTTAGTTAAAGGAGTATGGGGAAGCGATTCCCCCAAGGGTGGAGGCTTTTGCTTGGCTCATTTCAATGTGAAGTATCCTGACTCAAGACAATTTGAAAAAGAAAAGCCATCAGTTTTTGAGTAGATGCCCTCTTTGTTTGTTTGAAGAGGATTTTATTCTTCACCTTCTGATATGTTGCAGTTATAGTAGGAGTATTTGGACCAATTTTTCAAGTTGTTCAACATGGATGGATGGGATTCTAGTATCTACCTGGAAATTTTTGGGTGTTGGCCAAGGGTAAATGAAAACATCAAAACAAAAATCATTTGGAGCTATGTTCCATTTGTTGTATGTTGGGATGTTTGGAAAGAAAGAAATAAGAGATTTCTTTTAAGGAAAATCGAGAAGCAATAGAGAATTAGGGGCTGTCATTAGTTCAAGTATTATAGGGTGGGTCTTAGTTTTGCCAGAATTTGAAGGTTTAAGCAAAGCAAGCTTTGGAGATGACTTCTGGAACACCTTGAATGCTTAAATCTAACTGTATTTTTTGCTTCTTCTTTGCTTTTTTTTGAATAAAATTTTTCTTTTTTATCTTAAAAAAAAGATCCTACATGCCAAAGAAACAAGTACAACTCAATTTGAAATTAGAAATAAATGGGCTTCATACACTAATATTGTGGCCCAAGATGGCCAACCTATTAGCCACAAAATTTGCCTCACCGAATATATGATCCTACAACACCTTGAGCTTGTTGCGAATTGAGATTACATATTTCATGGGATTCACAGATGAACATTTTTATGTTCCATGAGAGCTTTTCTCTCCTATGAAGACCATTGATAATATTGATGGAATCTCTTTCAATAGTAATCTTTGTGAGAGCAAACTTCGTAGCGACCTTTTGAGCTTTGAGGGCAGCCTAAGCTTTATTTTCATTTTTTGAACAAGTACTAATATCGTTGCATAAAACCTAATGAACCTTGCCATAATCATCTCTAGAGATCATGCCAACTGCACATCTTTTGTCCACTCTTCTAAAGCATCAAAGTTTATTTTCACTTCCCCATTCTCTAGTCTCTTCTAGTGCACACAAGTATCTATAGAATAAGTAGAAGGGGTAGGCTACAATTTGGAGCATGAATTGATAAATTCTAGACATTCATACCTAGCTTTATCAACCAACATAAGAGGGGTCATACATTTATTTTTAAAAATTTTATCAAATTTTGATAATTTCTGTTTTTTTCCAAATATTCCATAAGATCACACTTACATTTTCCATTATATACCAGTGTTGGTTGATAGTTTTCAAGGTTCCAAGGCGAGGCTAGGCGACAGGGGGGAGCGCCTTGTTGCCTAGTCGCCTAAGCGATGAATTTTTTTTAAGTGAAAAATACATATCCTAGGTAGTTCCCAAGGTTCCATAACCATATTTCCTTAATAACTATCTATAATTTTCACAAGAAAATTATAAACTTCATGTTTATGTCTAGAAAATCAACATATTTATGAGAAGAAAAGGAAGAAAGAAAAGAAAATTCAAAAAATATGGGGACTAAAACCCTATTTTTGTTGTAGAAAAAGAAGAAAAGAAAAGGTGGAAGAAGAAGACGAAGAAGAAGATGTGGAGGAGGAAATGTGTTGATTAAACAAAACTTTAAGTTTTTCCCTTATTGGTTCAAATTCTGAAGTCTTTGAGGGTTCAGTACAACATTTAGCAATGTTTGTGTTGATTAAACCCTAACAAATAAGAAAATAATAAAAAGAAATTAGTTTATAAACCCAAAAAATGCATATTTTTGTTTAATAATGTCTATTTTATAATTATGATCTCAAAAAAGTAACAATATAAAAGAATTTTATAAGATAGTATGCAAAACTGCTAGGTGACTGGGCGAGCCGAGCCTCCAAGGGCACCTTGCCGCCTAGGCATCACCTTGACAACTATGGTTGGTTGTCTTTATCCCCAAGAGTCGCCACATGTTCCCACTAGTCAAGAAAGCCCTCATTTGATGATGATGTTGGAATGATATCATCATTCCAAATTTATCTCCCTTCCCCACAAAGGATGAGATAATTCATCGTAGCCACAAAACAACAATGAACATCATGCCTCATCCCCTAGCACTTTTAACCAATCAACATTTTATTTTTTTAATACATAAAAACCTAATTTTTGAGGGGCATTGAATTTTCTATAACCTCAAAACCCCATTTACATAGTTGATCAATTCAATATTATCCTCCATCAAGATGTAAGGGGATTTAAATGGGAATCTCTCTTTAGTGTCTAGTCTGTATATCATAATGTCATTCTCTCCAATAGATGGAATTAATTTTGTCCCATATCACTAGATGCACCTTTTCTAAAACTAGAAAGTGTGCATGTGGAAATTTTTTATGAGAATGATGATAGTAGATAATATGTTTCTAATTTTTTTATAATTTTTTATATTTTCATGTCTATAAAAATTATTCTTATTTGTCATACTTATTTTTGTTTAATATGATGAATTTATGATATTAGAGATGTGCCCAAATGTTTTCTACAAAACTATTTTGCATTTTATACTTTTGTGTATGTTAATCTTTTTTTTTATTTTTTTATTATTTAATTAGGACATCTAGGGCTAACAGATTTTACCTAAAATGTTGAATTGTTAACTCACCATCAAACAGGAAAACAACTCCATTTTTTGTTTGGTTTTAAATTTGTATTTTGTTTCTTTCTTCATTAAAAACAATTATTCTTTATTACACTTATTTTTCTTTAATGTGGATAATTAATATAAAATTCAATGAAAGAATGGGAGTTAATATCCTAAATATGGGACTTAATGAAAGGGAATTAAACAAGAAGAAATGTAATAGTTCAAATTACAATTTGTGCTTTCACAATTAGAGAGGGACCAAATTCAAAAATAAAGATATTCTAGTAAAAATATGATTCAATGAATGTTAATGGGAATAAATGCACTATATAAGACAATGAGAGGAATTTGAATGAAAATAAAAGTGGTTATTCAAATTACATTCTGTCCATATAATTAGAAAGAGACCAAATTCAAAAATTAGGGTATTTTAGTCAAACAAAAGTTCCACATTATCATTCACACTTTTAAGTCTTCTATCATAAACTCATTGACCATGCAAGATTGGTCATTATGGGAGAGATTTAAATTGTCGTTCAAAGAAGAATCACCAAACCAATTATCACACCAGAATTGTATGGATTTACCATTGCCAATTTTCTATCCAATCTCCTTTTTTAAATACTTCCCTATGTTCTAAAATTCCTCTAGCCCATGATATATATTTTTTAGGGGAGAATTGCCAAAAATTCTCACATTTAAGGTACTTACTTTTGATTTCTTGAACCAATAGGTTAAGTAAGGATTTTCCAACCTAGTTTTGTAATACAACTTACATTAACCCTACTGAGGTTTTTAATGCTTTATCCTCTTTTGGACTTCACCTTACACATTGTATTCCATTGACTAGATTTATGGCTTTTTATCATCTTTTTTACCCCATAGAATTCCTCGTTGTTTTACATCCACATTTTCCACTACCATTTTTTATAGCTTAAAAGATTTCATGAGAAATTGCAACATCATACCATTAGATGCTTTTTTTTTTCAACCTGCCAACTTTTTACTTTCTCCTCTATTTCTCTGAAAGTCTCCCTAATCAGCCTTCCATCTATAATTGGAGAGCCCAGATAGTTTTTCCTTTTCACTTATCAAAAAAAGGAGGTAGCTTTCCCTTTCCCTTTCAATGGGGATCCTCAACAAGCTAGAGATGATTCTCTGGAGCCTTCTATATCCCTGATACTCTTTGTAATACCGATACTTTGAACCTTGGTAGCCAGATGATGAAAAGATGCAAGCTTTTGGATCTTGTGTGAATTCTGCAAACATTTGGATCTACTAGATGGGCTGCAGCTTTTGCCTTTTGGATTGGCATGCTTTGCTCTTCTATCATCGGAAATCTGGCACCGGGTGATTTGTTAAGTCTTCAGCTGACCTTACTAACCCTGGAATGTGAAATCCGATCTCAGGGTACAATTAATTAAGTCTGGGATGATGGTTAACATCACAGGTCTGTTGTTACTGTGCGACGGACAATGTTTAATGTTATGTCCACTGAATGATTCAGTAATCGGCTGGATTCTAATGTAGATTGGTCAGAAGCACGGACACCACTGGCACTTCTATCATCTAAATCCATGATGAAGTCAAATTTCCCTACCGAACACCACTGGCACTTCAACAAGATTGTGCTAGAACTAGAAATCCATTCAAGCACTTAGAAAAAGCATGCAAATAAGAAAATGCTGAAATAAATTACATCGACTTGACGTGAGTCAAGCTTCATGTTTAGTTCCCCCTTCAAATGAAAGTTGACATCAAGATCCACGAGCATGGATTGTGGTTCAGATTTTGGGTGGATGCAGCACAATCCATTTACAGGAAGGTAACCGCAATGTAATTCATACCAAATTGTTTTTAATCTGTCATCTTCTTCGCACAGCAGAACTTGGTGCACGCTGTTGCATTGTCTGCTGTGTTTGGGCCACTGCTTGTTCTTCAGGCAAGTTCATTGCTTGAGTGATGGCATTCATGACGATAAGCCCGAGAGGAATCAGATACATCCACTGAATCATTGGGCCAAAGGGCAAAAAACAAAAGCAAATAGGATTAATTTCTCCTTTGCGGTGTAAATGACAATAACTAGGACAGAGACCAGAAAAATTATCCAGTGAAACTGTAAAAATGATGTCACTCACATATTTAGCCCAAAATGATCTCTCTGGTGGTTTTGTGCTTTCACCTTCTATGTTTTCCCCACCAAGAATTTCTTCTGAAAACACTGGAGTTCTGCAAAAACCAAACTGCAATTTTTAGTAGAAGAGAATATGAAATAAATCATAATCAAACACAATAGTGACAAATTAGAATTCTGTTGAATGTCAACCAATTTAATTAACTTCCACTTTAGTAATCTGCTAATCCACAAAAAAGCTCAATTGTATGACCATAAAATTCTGACTGACATTAGTCTTCTTAACCATTGATGTGACAAACTAAAATGGCCATCTATGAACCATTAGAATCACATATTATTGAGCTGATGTGGGTCAATGCGAATCCAAAAGGTGGCTAGTCAAGGCTCTACCATATATTATGGGTCAATTTATCACATGCAACATTTATAGCTAGAGAAACATCAAGGTTTACACAACCACAATTTTTTACTTGTTTTACTTATTTCTGTGTTAGAGAGTAGACATGTTTGAGTTATTTTCTCTTTTAAACCATTTTTCATAAAAATAAAATCCCAATTTGGCTCTACTATTTGTGCTCTTCAATCTGATAATGCAAAAGAATGCAAAAGAATGAGATCTGACACTAAAGATCATGTGTTCATACACCACAACCAAATATTGTAGCTAAATGTAGAAACCATTATCTCTACGAAGTGACTACAATTCTTTTCCTTCAAATGACAGTACCACAAATTTGGAGTTATGTTATTTTTACTGCATTCTATCTTATTAACTATACTAGTGGGGACCCGTGCAATGCACAAGCTTTATTAAAAGAATTTGAGGCAAAAGGAGCTAGGGGTGCAACTTGGGATGGCCCAACCCGAGCCTAGTGTGGCTCAATCAAAGCTTTGCACAGGTTGGGCTTGAGTTTTCAGATGTAAATCAGTCCTCAAATATTAGGTGTAAATTTGAAGATTAGAGGGAAAAAAAGGAAGAAGAGAAGTAAGAGCAGCAGTACAGGAGAAGAAGATGGCGAAAAGAGAAGGAAGAAGAAGAAGATTCGAATTATCTTCCTTTCTCCTCAAATCATTTTTTATTAAGAATTAATGTTAGAGTAATGACAAGTATGCCCTTAATTGGTCGGCTAGCTAGGCAGTAACATAAAGAGATTAAACAAAAAGAAATAACAGGCCCATTAGCCAACAAGAAAAGAAAAGATATTTCAAGAGAAGATACTAGGACCCATTCAGCCCAGTCTCTTTACACTCCCCCTCAAACTAAGCATAGATGTCAATCATGCCTAACTTGCTTATATAGTGTGTCATTTTCCCTCTTGGAACTTCCTTGGTCAAGATATCAGCCAATTGTTCGTCCGATGTGATGAATGGCAAACAAACATCTCCTGAGGAAATTCTTTCCCTTATAAAATGTTTATCAACCTCAATGCGCTTAGTTCTGTCATATTGAACAGGATTATGTGCAATGTTGATAGCTGCTTGGTTGTCACAGTAGAGCATCATTGGCTYCTCGTAGTCAACCCCCAATTCTTCAAAAAGGGATCATAGCCACAGTAATTCTGACACACCATGTGCCATTGCCCTGTATTCTGCTTCAGCTGAGGATCTAGCAACTTCAATGCCCAAAAAATACCGAAGATCTCCCAAATCCTTGATCTCAAATTCAGAGTTAAGAAATCTTTTTAGTTTACTGAYCTCTTGAGTGTCATTACCCGTGACTACAATATCATCAACATAAACTATCAAGAAGATCACCAGAGAGCCATTTCTCTTCAAGAACAAGGTATGATCAGATTGAGTTTGCGTGTAATCAAAGGAGACAAGAGCAGCCCTGAACCTCTCAAACCAAGCCCGAGGATACTGTTTGAGACCATAAATAGATTTCTGCAGTTTACACACCTTGCCTTGCATTTCCTTCCCATACACCCCTGGAGGCAAAGACATATAGACCTCTTCATGTAGGTCTCCATTCAAGAAGGCATTTTTAACATCAAACTGGTGTAGGGGCCAATCAAAAGTAGCGGCTAGAGATAACAAAACCCTGACTGAGGTCATCTTAGCTACAGGAGCAAATGTCTTAAGATAGTCAATACCATACATCTGAGTGTAGCCCTTAGCAACCAGCCTAGCCTCAAACCTCTCAATAGATCCATCAGAGTGATATTTAATGGTAGACACCCATTTACAATCCACTGGTTCCTTCCCTTCAGGCAAGTCAACAATATACCAGATATGGTTCTTATGCAAAGCATCCAGTTCAGCCATCATAGCATCCCTCCATTCAGGTTTAGATAAGGCTTCCGGTAYGGACCTGGGTGTCACATGGGAAGAAACAAAAGCAAGAAAAGAGTAGTAGGAAGGAGAGAGAAGGCTGTAAGACATGTGTTTGGAGATACAATGGGCTGTACACTTCCACTTGCCCTTGCGGAGAGCAATAGGAAGGTCAAGGTCTGGGAAAGATGTAGATGGGTCAAAAGAAGGCTAACCTGTTACCTCAATAATGATGGGAGGAGCAAGAGGCTCTTCTGTAGGAGTGGAAACAACCTGCCCATGTCTGAAT